AATTTGGGGGAGGTTTGAGGCCTGCTAACACATCTTCATCATGATTACATTCTTCTGTATTTCTTTCTGTCCATTCCAAACTCAACTTATAAAGTCCAATCTTTCCCGAAAGATTTGCTTTCTCGGCTTCTGAGTAGTTTTCAACATGCTCTAGATCACATATCCTTAATTTACCTCCAAGTTGGTTCAAGCATCCCAATTCCTCAATTCGACTTCCCTCTTGTGGACCGACAACAAATAACTGCAACGTTTGAAGACCCTTTAGCCTACCAATTCTGAGTGGCATACAATTTTTTCCATTGAAATAAATGTGTCTCAAGCTGACTAAGTTTTCCACCCCTTCTGGCTGTTTTACAATCTGAAAACACCACATGAACCTCAGTGTCTGCAAACTATACAACTCCATGATAAACTGGGGGAGTTCTTTAATGTTGGTGCTTGAAATGTCTAGATACCTCAAATGCTTCATCTTGCCGATCCAAGTTGGCAACTGCCCAATATCAATTCTCCAAAGGCTACCTATTCCAAAGCTAAGAATGCGTAACCTTTTGAAGCTATCTGGCATCTTGCCCAAAATATCACCTCTGAGAAATAAGGAGTGTAGTTTTCCAGCCACCTCTGCTAAATTTGTAGGCACTATTTCCTCAGCATCAACGAGATTCAAATGCCGAACATGTGCAATGTTGCTCTCTGAACCAGCTTTCAAAATAAGTGTTTCAAATTTTGAATTGTAAGTGGCAAGATCATGAATTAAATCATGCATTTTGCATGACATAATCTTTCCAGTTGAATCTCTTTCTTCCTCTAGAAACAAACAATATGACAACAAGTCATTGAAATACTTGTTACCAATATCCTCCATAGAACTTCCCTGTGATGGTTGAAGAAAGCCTTCAGCCATCCAAAGTTGAATTAACATCTCCTTTTCAATTTCCCAATCCTGGGGGAAAATGGAACAAAAGGCAAAACATTGCTTCAATGTTGTGTTAGGTAGGCGATCAAAACTCAACTGTAAAACTCGAACAGTCCATGTCCGCCTATCATCTTCCAGTGAACTCAAACTATTGTTAACTGACACCCATTCACCCCTATCCCTTTGATTACTCAGACTAGCCCCAATGACATTGGCAACTAAGGGTACACCTTTACATTTTTTAGCGATCTGCCTTCCAATCGCTTCCAACTCCAGATCCAGCACTGAAGAACCTCCGAATGCTCTCTGCTTTATTATAGACCAACACTCTTCATCTTTTAGTCCTTCAAGATGATACATGTGTTCTCCAAGTGCTCCCATTATAGATGCTACATTTTCACTTCGAGTTGTCACAACCATTCTACTTACTTTATTTTTAGTTATTTCTAACAAACAACCCCTTAAGGTTTCCCACTTCATTCTATCCTCATTCCACACATCATCTAAGATTAGTAGACAGTTTTCATTTTTTAACTCATCTTGTATTTTTCCCACTATGATAGGCTCATTTTCAATTGAACAACCCTCTTTGGTGAGAGATTCTAACATCTCTTTTAGGATTTTTTTGACATCAAAGACTTCAGACACACAAATGAAAATTGTTTTACCAAAATTCCTCACTATTTTCTCATGATTTTGCACTGATTTTGCTAAGGTGGTTTTTCCTAGACCCCCCATACCCACTACAGATATAACAGAAAGGGACTCCTCATTATTTGGATCAATCAACAAGTCAACTATTTTTGACACATCATTCTCTCTTCCTATGACTCTAGGACAATAACTAGGAAAGGAGTATGCTGTTTGAGGGTTGCTTCTAGATTCATGGGTAGCATTTCTGGACTGAAGTCCAAATTGTTTGGCCTCCTCATTAATCTCAACTATAGAAGCAATAAGATTCTTGATCTTATTAGCCATCTTGAGACGAAATATGAAAGGATTGGAGAAAGTAAAGAAGAGACAGACCTTCTTCCTCATTTGCTTTTGAATCCATACCTCCTGTTTCAGTCTTTCATAAACAACCTCATCCACAACATCCTCAGCCTCACGAGCCACGTCTCTGAGGTTCTCAAGCCAAAGCTTCACAGCTGAGTCTCCAACTTGCCTTCTGTCTGCATCTTGCAACACAGCACGAATCATGGTCAACTTCTTGCAAAGTCTTCTGAGCTCTGCCTTCCAACTGACTGCAAGGTTGATTTGCTCAGTAGCAACTGAAATCACCTTGGATATGGTGGCATCAACAATAGGACCCAAGACAAGATCGCCCATCTTCACTTCAATAGATCTAGGAAAAGTATGCAAATTATGCTTGAGAGTAAATAGGCATATTATGGAATTATTGGAATAGATGGTGGTATATATAAAATAGGGGTGGATCAAGGCAACTATTATTGGTGCCACGCGGTTTTGAAATCTCCAAATTACCCTTTCGCTA